TTTAGGGGTCGTCAACTCCAGCCTCTCTGTGTACTCCTTCTCGCTATCTGATTTCAACAGAGAAACTTCAGCAGAAACCTACCTGTATGTGGCCATCCTCATTTTCTTCTGTGCCTATATTGTGGACGAGGGCTACGTCATTACGCAAGAAAGGGCTTCCTACTTAAGAAGTGTGTACAACCTGCTCAACTTGTCTCTGAAGTGCATGTTTACCCTGCTGATATTACTGTTCTTCCAGAAGCACCTCCTGGCCACCAGCATGGTCCAGCTTTACCTGACTCACCCTGGAGCCTTCATCCCCTTCCATGCTGTTTCTCGGCTTGATCATTCCATGAGGATCATCTTGGCTTTCTTGTTATTTCTGACCATACTGAAGACACTCAGGTATTCCAGATTCTTCTATGATGTGCGCCTGGCTCAGAAGGCCATCCAGGCTGCCCTTCCTGGCATCTTCCATGTGGCCTTGGTGGTATCTATGTATGCCTTCATGTACGTAGTTTTTGGGTACCTGGTGTTCGGTCAGCACGAATGGAATTATAGCAACATCAGTCACGCCACCCAAACCATCTTCTCCTACTGCGTGTCAGCCTTTCAGAACACAGAATTTTCCAGCAACAAGGTTTTTGGGGTCCTGTTTCTATCATCTTTTATGCTGGTGATGATCTGTATCTTCATCAACTTGTTTCAGGCGTTGATTCTGTCTGCCTACGATGAGATGAAGCAGCCTGTGTATGAGGAGCCATCAGATGAGGCGGAGGCAATAACCTACCTGTGTGATAATCTAAGATCTGGGTTTGACTTTCTCACCTCCCGATCTAGGGACAAAGACCAATCCGAATTCTTGGTCGACATGATGTATGGGCAGCCAGAGAAAAACAATCGCCGGTTCCTGGGGCTGAAGACCAGAAACATCAATGGGAAGAAAATGGCTTACCTTGTTGTCTGACTGGTGAGGATTGGAAGGGCCACAAGCAAGACTGTCCCGAAACATTAGGTGTTTGTCAAGGGGACCAAAGAATGTCCTGATGGCTCGGTCATGCACATATCCATACCTGGAGTATCCCCGCTCTGGGCTCTGCTCTTGAGCCCAGAGCAGAGGGGAATATTGGGGGGAAAAGAGGATGGCAAGGTGGGATTCCCTCTGGATGGGATTCAGGGACTCCTTTTGTGGAAGCCTGCAGCAGTATGGAGGAGTGGCAGCCACTGATTTTGAGACCCAACCTCAAGGGAAAGAGCTGGTCAGGTCCCATCGTGGATTTAGCCTCAGGCCAGCAGCCTCTAAGCAGAAGCAAACTGGCCAGTCTCCCTGGGAGACTCCCTTGCAGACCATGCCTGGGAAACCTCTCTCCTCCAGCCTTTCTGCAGGCCCGGGTGAGAGGGGTCCAGTTCGGGGAGTGCCAGGACTGGCTTTAGAGTTTGAAGATGCAGAGATCAGAGCAGGGGACAGGGATCTGAAACTTCCCACTTAATCCCTTCAGAATAAGCATTTCTAGTGCACTTGGCAACAGTGTCTGACCAAGAAGCACAGCTGTTGCCAACAAAGGCGCACAAAGGTCCATGTTTTGGAAACATGGTACCTGTTCTGAATATAACAATATGTGTCCGATGACTTGGGCGTTGGGGTACATTTGTGACTGGGTAGATGATTTAGGAGGAAGGGAATGCGTTTCACTGTTCACGAAGAACAAAGGGCTAACAACTATTATATTGTTACCCAGAGGCATGCGTCTTTATGGTGACGCCACTTTAAGTTTTATATGAATTAAACTTGAGATTTCTTCTGTGACCTGTGCAGTGATTTCTGTGTAAGGGATCAAGGCGTATCTGTGGCTGCCTTTGAAGGTGAGGGCCAGAAAAGAAACACACAAGCGAGGCTACGGCTGCACTAGACTCACAGCAGCGTCCTGCGACTTTGAAGACTCATCTGTGTCTTCAAAGACACTCTCTATTTTTTTTTTTGAGACAGGAGCTGGCTGTCCTGGAACTCACTATTTAGATCTGCCTGCCTCTGCCTCGTGGCCATGGCACACGCCTTTAATCCCAGGAGGCAGAGGCAGGCGGATCTCTGTGAATTTGAGACCAGCCTGGTCTACAAGAGCTAGTTCCAGGGCAGGCTCCAAAGCTACAGAGAAACCCTATCTTGAAAAAACCAAAAAATAAATAAATAATAAAAATTAAATAAAATCCCAGCTCCCCCCAGCGCTGGGATTAAAGGTGTGTATCACCATATTCAGTTTTATTTTAAAATTCATAGAAGTATATACCTGGAATCTACCCACTCCTACCACTCCTTCTGTACTTTCCCAAGACTTCCTCTTCCCACCTTCGTGCTGCCACCACCATCATCAACCTCATCCGAAGTCCCGCCTACTCTGGATGCGTTTAGGACCATGACACTTCTTTCCCCAGTAGCCAGTCAGTTGCCAATAACTCCCGAGACAGGGTGGAGCCACAGGAGTCCCTCCCCTATCCATGCTGGAATGTTAACTGGCTTGGTCCTATGTGTAGACTTGTACAGGTAAACTCGGTTGCTGTGAACTCATGAGGCCAATGGCCACGCCATGCCCAAAAGACAGCATGTCACAATGCCCTCCCCCGCCATCTCTCTGCTCTTAAGTTCTTTCTGGCCCCTCTTGTGAGATGTTCCCTGAGCCTTGCTGGGGGTGCGAGTGTTACAGATGTCCCATTTAGGGCGGAGCACTCAACAGCCCGGCTGTTTTGTGTTGTACTGTACATTGCGAATGGCTTTGTTACAGAATCCCTTCTGCTGCCTAATCTCAAACTCAACTGGCACTTGCTTGAAACGGCAGGAGCGCAGTGATTCTGCCCATCTTCTGTGAGAGGGTTTTATTACATATATGTCATAGTGCTGGCCATCAGATGTCTTGGAGATGCGTCTGGAAGAACAGCACAGCAACAGTAAAGAAAGGACATTGCATGTTTAGAAAACCCTCCCCAGAAGCTGTAGGGTTGGTTGAAAGAAAATCCCACACAGTCAAGGGCAGGTTGTGTCCCTACAAGTTGCTAGCCAACAAAACCGTTTAAATCCGAGAAACCAGAAAGGCAATTTCCACTAATGTTGGTTGCATGGCTAAATTAGGTGAAAACACATATATCGCAGGACATGGAGAAATTATGCCAAAACTGAGGAGGAGCCCACACTGCAGAGGGAGAATTATTGCCAATAGTCCTGCTTGGCTATGGATTTCATTACACGACCACGCCAGGCAAGGGGTGTCTGCTGGTGCAATCATGGCAAACCGGTGTGAATGTAGACGACACTGATTGGATTTAAGGCTCCCCAGGAAGGAACCCATGTTTGGAACTATAAAACTGGCAAAAACTTGTGGCTGGAGGTCATAGGCTCTGGTGGGGAGAGTACTATTGTTTGGTTAAATGAACAGACATGCCCGTAAAATACTTGTCTTTCTTACCCACAGTTACTGCTGCTCTTCTTTTTGCAGTCAGTGGTAGTTAATGAGACTCAAAACCAGCCAAACAGCTGTAAATACCTATTCCTATGGCATCGCGGCCCAATGCCCAACCATAAGTGAAAGAAAGTAATCAGAGTTCTATGTGACCCCTTCCAAGGTTCAGGGAACATTATTCAAGAAGTGCAGAAATACTGGCCATAGAAAGAAGCGAAGTGTTATATAGTGTTCCCTTTTCTGTAGATGGAAACATTCTCTCCTGGGGGCAGAGGAGGATGGACGAGAATCAGAAAGTTCACCAAACTTTTAATTTAAGACTATCCACGACAGGCGTGGTGGCACACGCTTTTAATCCCAGCACTTGAGAGGCAGAGGCGGGAGGATCTCTGTGAGTTCGAGGTTAGTCTGGTCCAGAAAGTGAGTTCCAGGACAGCCAGGGTTCGGTTACCCAGAGAAACCCTGTCTCGAAAAAACAAAACCAAACCAAACAAACAAAAAAATAATATCCACAAAGCCTCTTCCCAAAGTTACTAAAGCAGTTAGCAATTGTTGCAGGAGGCAGATGGAGCTGCCTTCAAGTCGTGCAGACAAGTCATTAACCCCACTGGGTACGCTTTTCAATGTTGCAATTACTTCAGTCATCCTTAGCTCTGTAAATAATCCCAATACATTCACTGGTTCACCAAGCAAAATTTAGGAAGAATTGGTTTTGTTTTTGTCTGCCATCAGTACGCTTTGTCCTGAAGAAGCCCAGATAGAGCTCAAGCAGAGATCCACAACCTCTAGACATCAGCAGTGGAAACGGAAGCGGCCAGTGAAGCTCTTCCCCGACAAGGACACGCCACAGCGGAGACCGGGTGGAATCGCCACCCGCTCCACCGGGAGGGACTGAACGGACGCTACGGGCCGAGGGCGGAGCCTCGGAGGATCTGGGGCGGGCCGCGCATGCGCTATAGGGTGGAGCTAGGGTTGTGGGCGGGTCACGCAGGCGCCGTGGTACTTTCGGCGGGGAGGTGGTGAGTGCGCGTGGTCGTGTGTCGCGGGGACGCGCGTGGTGAGCGGCACCGTTCTTTCTTCACTGCCGGGTTCGCTAGATCTCGCCTCGGCGCTTCTGGAAGCTGAGAGGGAGGCGTTTGGCCTAACACCCCGCTGAGGGCGAGGGGAGGGCTGCGCGCGGGTGGCTAGTGGGTGATCCGAGCCGTAGGTGTCTTTGGTCGCCAGGCGGAGCCTTGCTGACCCGGGAGACTGAGCGGGAGGTGGAGGCTCTGGCCGAGTCTCGCTATCCTGGGACTGTCCCCTGACTGTCACCTGCTGCGAGGGCAACGTGCCCAGCAGCAGGCCTGCGACGTGCGAGTTGAGATACCAAGCAGAGCTAGCTAGGTTCGCGCACACCCAAAATAGGATTTTCATTTTTAGACATCATTTGGAACCCCTGCCAGTTTCCAAGGCTTGTGCCTTCTGGCTCCAAATCTGCAGGACCTGGAGGGTTAGAGGAGGGCACAGATGGGGCGGGGAGGGGGGGGGGGCTGCTGATGGGTTGTGTGGGAACTTTGAAAGGCGAGGTAGGAATTTCGATACGGCGCCATAAAATCTGTCAGTTGCGTTTTCTTGAACTCATCAAACTCTGTTTGCCGGTGGACCACTTAGCCAGCAATCTACAGGGAGGTAGGTCCTCCAAGACCTTAGCTACACCTGAGTATAGAAGTGCCATCAAAATGGCAAGTGAAGATTCTTCCAGTGAAGGGAATGTGCAGGAGGCACATGAATCTGTCCTTAGATAGTATCTGAGAGGCCAATAAATCTCACACCTAAGCACAAGTAATGCTAGAGAAATTCGAAGCCAGTACAGAAGAACAACCAGGAAAGCCAAACCTCTCATTAGATTGATTCAGCATCAAACAGCACAGGCCTGACATACATGCCCACTCTGGGTCCTAAATACTGTTTTTACCTCTACCATTTTATAGACAAATCAGGCTTATAACCCAGACTGAGACACAAGAAAAAGCAAGGAGACAGCCTTGCTGCCAAGTAACAAGATACTCAATAGGTGCAGAACCAGACATGGCTCAGATGTTGTTACAACTATCAGATGGGAGGTTTAAAACAAGCATGGTTAACACGTTCAACATGCCAGTGGAAAAGACACATAACATGCATACACACATGGGGGTTTCAGCAGAGGAGGAGAAAAAGAACAGTAGACAGGAAGAGAGGAAGAATAACTTAAGGGGCCTACCAGTTATGTGAATAAAGCCAGTGAACTTGAAGGAAGTCTATAGAAATTATCCAAATAGGGGCTGGTGAGATGGCTCGGCAGATAAAGGTGCCTTGCTTCCAAGCCTGACCTGAAACTGATCTCCAGATCCCACTTGGTGAAAGGTAAGAACTGACTCCACATTGGTTCTGTGGCCCATTGGGATGGCTACTCCTGGTTGTCAAACTGACTGTATCTGGAATGAACTACAATCCAGAAATGGAGGGCACACTTGTGATCCGGATCTTGAGGCAAGAAGACAACATGCCTTTGGTCCAGATCTTGAGGCCGGAAGCACACCTTTAATCTGGGCCACACCCTCTGCTGGGGAGCCTATGTAAGGACAGTGGACGAAGGAGGGCTTGCTCGTTCTTCACCTACCTGCTCTCACCTTGTCAGCACATCCATTCCTTCACTGGAATCCCCTACTTTATGATTCTAGAACATACAGAAGACCAACTGAGACACCCAGCCTCAGGGGACTGAGCAACTGCTAGATTCTTGAACTTTCCATTCACAGCTAGCCATTGTTGGATGACAGACTGTAAGACAGACCAATAAATTGTTGTATACACACACACACACACACACACACGAGAGAGAGAGAGAGAGAGAAAGAGAGAGAGTCATCCCATGTTTTGTGACTATAGAGAACCCTGACTAATACGCACATGCATACCTAAACAAAATCAGTCAAGCAACAAAAATAAAATTAAAAAATTATGGCTGGTGAGATGGTTCAGAGGTTAAAGTCATTCGCTGCCAAGGCTGATGACCCTGTACCAATCCCCAGGACCTATACTGTAGGAGAGAATTCCTGCAGGTTGTCCTCTGAACTTGTCATGAATTCCATGGATGCACAATCCTCTTTCCAAATAAACGAACGTAAATACAAAGTAAATTATCTAGTTGAAGCATGTGGGGATGAAAACCAAATTCTCTGATTTCACTTTGTTTTGTAGCCCAGGCTAGCCGCAGTTCATCTCATCACTTGGCAATCCTGGGTGGCATTGAGTAGATGTTACTTGCTCTGAGTTTGAGCTTACATGTCAAGGAGGCTTGCATCTTGTGGATGAGAATATGCACAGCAAGCAGAGTGGATTTGAAGGGTGCTGGTTCTCGGTTCCAATGGTGATGCCCCTACCTCTTGGTCTTACAGAAGATGGCATCTGAGGCAGAACCCCGCCCCCTGGGCATGTTTGAGTGCCAGCTCTGTGCCTTGACAGCTCCTTACAGCTACGTGGGGCAGAAGCCCCCAGACACCCAGGCTGTTGTGTGAGTATGCGCTCTGAGCCAGTGCTCCAGAGGCTCTGTCCAGCATTGCTTGGAGGATGCTGTGTGGAGAGTGTACTTGGCTTTGTGTTGTACCCTAGATCAGTCCTTGCCCGTGTTCTGGATGCTCCAGGCGTAGCCCAGGGAAGCCCCAGGTGAGGCTGGAAAGCTTTTTGAAAAACTCTGCCAGGATTCCCTGCCCTCCCTGTAGGTGCAGCGGACAATTAAGCACTTGCTCTATGAGATGGAAGCCTTGTGGCCCAGGTCAAACAGCAATGGAGGAGCATTGTGGCGTTTTGCCCTGTGCTGTCCTTGCTGATGGTATTCGGGGCTGGGTGGGTACCTAGTGGTTCCTAAGGACCAGCTTTCTGAAGGTCTGTTTCATGCAGGTTGGGAGTAGAGATAGTTCTAAGCTTGTTTGTTGGATTGTGGCTCATCCTTCATCAAACACATTATGTGAGAAAGCTGGCTTGTTCTGGACTCATGACAAAGCAACAGGGGACCAGGCTCAATTCCCTTGCGTCCCTGGAGGATCATGCCACTCAGTTGCTCTCATGCTGATGTATGTGCCATGGAGTAGAGTGTGCTCCCCGTTGACCTCATGAGCCCACCTAGTGAATCCTACTTGCTCTGGCATGCACTGGGAGTCTTCCACTGCACCTTGCGGAGCTGGGGCTAGGTCACATTTCAGGTCCTGCCTGTCCCCCAGCTGCCAGCCTTTCTGCCACTACCTTACTGCTCAGGTTGACTAGTTCCTGCCAGCTGAGGCTCCTGGTGCTGCCGTGCAGCCCTGCCGTGGCTCACAGGGGAGTGTCCCTTCTCCCTGCAGCCTCCTGGAGGAGAGCTACATCATGAAGGATCCCTTCTCCTCAGACAAGGCAAGGTTTCTGGTCCTCGGCTCACGGTGCAGTGTGTGCGGCAGGCTGGTGTGTGTGGGCCCGGTAGGTATACCTGGGGACTTCCTGTTTTTGCCCCACAGATCTGGGAACCTCCTGATCACCAGGTGGAGAGAGGGTGAGGGTTCTTAGATGACAGCTAGCCTAGCCTTGGGGACACAAGGGCAAAGGGAAAGGGCCAGTGAGGGCAGACAGAGTGTCTCAGCCTGAGGTTGGGCCTTGCAGTCGTCATAGGGTCTGGGAACCCCTTGGTACCTGCTGCAGGGTCAGCGCACACAAGGGGCCTTGCCACAGGTCATACCCGACAACTGTCTCCTCTCTAGGCTGTCTGGTTGATGTAGGGGATGGTGGCAGGAGCCTCAGGTCCCATGACTTGGCAGGAAGACTATGGAGGGAGTGTTTGAGGTCAACAGACTGGAAAAGTGGGCTGGGAGCCAGCCTCTGAGGAGCCTCGAGTTGCTCACTCCCTGGATTTGGGCTGTATTTGGGAAGCAGAAGTGGGAGTTGCCCCCAAGAATGTCAGGCATCTTCCCCTTTCTTGGATTAAACAATACATTGTTAGTAAGCTGGTCTCCATTGCAATGGATCGTTCCTCAGAACTTCAAGCAGGGTGGCCACTCTGCCAGCCCTTGGTGCATCCCTTTGTTGCTCTGGTGGCTGCCTCTCCCTGTGTCTTATGTGGTGTGGCGGAGCGGGGCTTGCCTGGGAGCGGCAGTGCTGTGTTGCCCCTACCCTCCATGTTCTAACCCTGTTTCTTCTCACAGGATTGCAGCCTGTTCTACTCCAAGAGGGTCTGCCTCCCCTGCGTTCAGGAGAATATCAGTGCCTTCCCTCAGGAAATCCGGCAGGATGTGGAGAAGAGAAAAGGTGCCTCCAAGAGGCCTTCCAGCCATCCCTGACCACCATGTGCAGGGCCTCCTCCAGTGGAGCACCGGGCTGGTTCGGCCAGGGTTCCGACTGGGAGCTGTGTATCTGGCCTTCTCTGAACTGTGGAGTACCCGGAGCCCTGGGAACCCAGGAGGTGGCCAAGACTGAAGCCAGACAGCCGGAGTGGATCCAGCTGCAGCTCCAGGACTGGCCTCTAGTGGAGGCCAAGAGTGAGGGAAAGGGAGCCTCCTTCGGTGGACAGTTGGTAGACACGCCCGGTAGATGTACCTGTGGGAGACACCCGGCTTCTCTCAGGACTTCCAAGTAGCATGATGTCATGTCTGTAGGGAAATCAGCCTCCAAGGGTATTCAAGGGTTACGTCACATTCTGTGTCACATGTCTGGGAAATGATTTAAACCTTGACCCTGTACCATGTTTATAATTAAAGACCTGAAGACTAAGCTAATGGTTTAAGTAACCTTTTCACTGACCTACTTGGACACTCAGTACATCCCATCGGGGCCAGTCTGTGGGGCTCGGTCTGTGCAAACCAGCCATGTCCCAGCAGCATTCAAAACGAACCAACTAAGTTTTAAAAATAGTTTATTTTTTTTAAAACCATTAAGGCAAAACTGTACCCTGAAATTAACTCTTTACATTCATCAGTCTTACAGTAGGACATTCCAAACATACAGGTTCCCATAAATTCAGGATATAAATCAACGCCTACAGTCAGTTCAATCTCCTATGGAGAAAATGAAGAGGACTCAATATTTTTTTTTTAATTAAGGTTAAGTTACAGCCATTTTCTAATTGCCTGGAACCAGTCAGTTCATGTGACTAGTAAATTCTATTTGTGCTTCTGTGTTCACCCTGGATTCCTGATGTCCTGGGTAGCCCTGTATCCACGAAGAGCTGGGAGGTGGGAGAGGATGCCAGCACTGGCTCAACAATCCCTGTTCAGGACCGTTCTTACCACAGAAGTGAAGAAGGGCTGCAGGCCCCCATCTCTGAGAGAATGGCACATGGACAGTAGTGAGCAGGTAGCAGAAAGCTGGCTCAGACCTTGCTTTGGAAATGAGCATGTCCTTGTGTGTGTCTGTCAGACCCCTCCCCTTGGGCTCTAGTGGGATGGCACTGTGGGTCTTGGAGGGTGTTACAAAGACACACCAAGGAGCAATGTGGCCAAGAGACTGGAAATGACATGGAGACACAGTGGAACAACTCAGATCACCACAGTTCTTTGGTAATTTACAGGTAACAATTCCCTGAATAGCGGGCAGCTGTTAACCCTACAAGCCTACTCAGTAGTAGCCTTGATAGCAACGTCAGTGTAAGGTTAGTGACTTCCAGTCAGGGTTCAGGAAGGCCTGGCTGGCAGAGATGGATACAAACAGATTGGCTTGCACTTGTTGCGAGGGGGAAGAAAAAGAAAAAGAAAAAAAAAAAAAACAATGACTAAAGGAGCAGATGCCCACACTGGAAAGAGAGAGTGCACAGCTCGGGTGTGGGGCATGTGCTCATGGGCAGTGGTGCTGTTGTGTATTTGGGCTTCCTGGGTCCAGCAGGTTCAAGGGCCAGGCTTTGAACATACACCGCATTGAACCCCGACTTAGAAGATTCCAGGTGTTGGCAATCAGACACACAATCACAAGCTAGTCAACTGCTTGTATCAGAGCATTTAAAAAACAAAAAAAAAAAACAGAAATCACAGTATTTAAGATATAGCTATAAAGATAATTTCTTTTTCATTCAGTGCAGAAAACATAGTGACACTTGACATGATAATACTGACATCTTCCTAGAAAAGAGCCAAGTGGCAGTCATCTGTTGTGAGGTACACTTGGTTTCAGGCCTGACAAAAGAGCCTTTTTTAAAAAAGTGAAATGTCTCCCAGTGACAACTTTACCAGGAAAGGGTCAGCCACTTGCTGGTCTTCAGGGCCTGAATCCAGACTCTACATGACTTGATACACACTGAGTCCCAGGGGTCTGGGAAAGATGCCCAAGTGCCCCCTGCAGGCCAGGGAGCCCAGATACCCATCTGCCTCTGCTCTGGCCTCACCACTGTAGGGGTGACCTGTGCCCCAGTGGTGAAGCATGTTTCACTGAACAAATGAATTTGAAGCTGGACAAGGGGGAAAGAGATGTGAAAAGAGGAGACCATTATCTCCTCTCTTCACAGATCATTCCAGAGTTTCTATATTTGACCTCAACTGGGAAACTTTTAAATAAAAAGAAAATGAAACTGAGCCTGGTCGCTGTCTATGACGTAAAACTTGATGTTTCTCATTTTCTTTTGCCACCTGGCAGCCATGTGGTCAAGACATGACACTAACCATGGAAGCAGTTTGGTCAGTTCCGGTTGGCACAGGACTTCCCAAAAGGTGAACCTCACTATACAACCACTCTCTCTGACAAAAGGGGAGCAAAGCAACACACTCTTTTTCTCATGTCTCTGAGATTCTGAGACATGGATGCGACAGCTGTTGGCTGGGGTCTGATGAGCCTGAAGCCCACTCCACTGAGGAAAAACCAGAGATGCCAATGCATTCCTCAGAGGAGGCTAGTGAGGAACATGATCTACTCATTTAAACCCAAACCTGTCTTGATGCAGATCTTAGTGTGTGCTGTTGTTTTCAGAGAAAGACAACAGCCATCTCTGTTCTGAGTCAGGCTGTTGTTCTGATATTCTTACCTGATTCTGTTCATGGGTGTCAGCCATACAAATGGGACTGGGGACAGAGTGGTACCTGGTGGGCCACCGGGAAACCAGGCTGGCCCTCTAACCATCAGGTTGGTGGTATCTACTTGAAGATCTGTTTAGGCTCCTGTTCTCACCCCTTCAAAGGCTGTGACCTACTCTGCAAGCTGGGTGAGCAGCTGTAGGCAGGTGCTGCATTTTTCTAGTGGGATCTTCATCTCGAAAGGCCACAAAGGTTAAAGAGAGATTCTGCGAAGGTCGTGGGCTTTCTGGCTCTAGGAGGCCCTGGGCCAAAGACTAGTCAATCTTATGGGACACCAGAAAACCTTTAAGCTGAACTTCAGCAAGAAATTTTCAAAATGCATGGCCAAGGACGCAGGGCAAACATCGCTTTCCACCATGTGTCAGGCTGCTGAGTGTCCAGCATACCCATGTCATGGTGTGTTGATAAAGGCTCAAGGTGAGATATGTTTGGAATCAGACAGATACAAGCTGAGTGTAGAGCAGCCCAGGGGCCATGCTTGCTGAAGATCTGCTTCAAGAATCTCTCCTGGGGGGCTGGAGAGATGGCTCAGCGGTTAAGGGCATTGCCTGCTCTTCCAAAGGTCCTGGGTTCAATTCCCGGCAACCACATGGTGGCTGACAACCATCTGTAATGAGGTCTGGTGCCCTCTTCTGACCTGAAGGCATACATGTAGACATAATATTGTATATATAATAAATAAATTTAAAAAAAAAGAATCTCTCCTGGGGAAGGGCCTATAAGACGATTGGAAAGAGGTGGTGTGGAGGGAGAGGCTAGCGGAATGGAGCAGACAGGGTCCCAGAGGAAGTCAGGTAGACTTCAGTTCAGTAGATAACAGCCATTTTTGCACAAATGCATCCTTAAAGCTCCCTTTAACAGCAAATGTTCCTTCACAGAGACACATACATCTCCTGGACACAGGAGTTGAGGAGGAGGGACTTGATCTGGACTACTGGTCTCCAAGGAGTCTGGCACCAGGAGAATTCTGCCTTCATTGCTGAGAAGTGGCTCCACACCCTTGCTCTAGAGCTCCAGGAACCAAGGTGGCATTTCTTACTGGGCTATTGGTTGATGCCACTGACACCTTGCAGACCATAGCTATCCACTTTATCGTTCCTACATGTGCCACAGTATTTGACCTGGCAAGGCTTGGGTGACTGTCACCTTGCTAAATCTGACTAGGGGACCTGAAAGATCCTATCACGATGTGACCACATCGTGAATATCCTTCCTATTAATGAAAGTGCACAAAGTCAGTGACTTCCAAGCCAAGGCCACTGTGGTCCCTCCTGGTTTCCCTGGGGTAACTCATTGGCAGTCACACGAGGCTCTGAGAACACCACATTTCATGAACACCACTGAGCATCAGCTCTGATGCAAGCCGACACAGAGCTGTCAGTCAGCTGTGTGGTCCATGCTGAAAGCATACAGCAAGGGGCTACTTTTATAGGTTTTATGGAAGTTCAAACAGAGTGCATGGCTACTCCAAAAACCTATGACTCAAAACTCTCTTTCCAAGGTCACCTACCCCAGAGTGGCATTTGTCTAAGGCTCATCAGAACAGAAGTCTACCCTGGTTGGGGACAGATGCACTGAAGAGACTTGGAACTGGAATCCAACCTTTGACCCTTTAAACCTAGGACCAGCTCTAGCCTGTAGGAAGGACCAAAGACTGGGTATGCCATGTGCCACAGAGGCAGGCTCCTTCCCGAATGAGCTCAATCCTCACTGGGATCATTTATGGAACTGATTTGCTCTGCCACTGATTCCTGAGAGCCTGGGCAGACTGCCTGCAGAGACTGCTACCCAGCAGAGCCTTTGTCTGGCAGGAAGGGAAGAGGGAAAAGCAGGAAAGTGAGAAAGAATAGGAGAGAGGAAAGAAGACATGGAGGAAGGAGAGAAAGAGAGAGGGGGATGTCATGGGATATTTGTACACGGTATGACAATGTAGTGCTGTGATTGGTGTAATAAAAAGCTGAATGGCCAATGGCTAGGCAGGAGAGGTATAGGCTGGATTTCCAGGGAGAGAAAGGAAGAGGGGGAGGAATCTCAGCACTCTAGAGACTCCAGGAGACATGAAGAGGAAACGGGAGGTCCAAGATGGAAGAGAGGTAATGCCATGTGATAGAACATAGATTAATATAAATGGGTTAATTTAAGTTATAAGAGCTTGTTAGGAACAAGCCTAAGCTATGGGCCAAACTTTCATAATTAATCAGAAGTTTCTGTGTCATTATTTGGGAGCTGGCTGGCGGGACAGAAAAAGACTCATTCTATTTGTTTTTGTTTTGTTTTTTGAGACAAGGTTTCTTTGTGTAGCCTTGACTGTCCTAGAACTAACTCTGTAGACCAGACTGGCCCTACTAGGCTGGACCCAAAACCCACAGGGGTCTACCTGCCTGTGCCTCCCGAGTGCGGGGATGAAAGATGTGCACAACCACCACTCAGCCATAAGTGTGCAAATCTTTTTTTTTTTTTTTTTGGTTTTTCAAGACAGGGTTTCCCTGTGGCTTTGGAGCCTGTCCTGGAACTAGCTCTGTAGACCAGGCTGGTCTCTAACTCACAGAGATCCGCCTGCCTCTGCCTCCCGAGTGCTAGGATTAAAGGTGTGCGCCACCACTCAGCCATAAGTGTGCAAATCTTAAACCATGTCTTGACCCTAATTTTCCCCTTTTCCTACTTGAAATATCATGGCCATATTATTCATTTTACTGTCTTCATAATGCTGATCTTGAATATTTTATCTGCATCAATATTTTTAAAAGAAAACAGGGTCTCATGCAGTACAGACTGGAATCAAACTTAAGTGTGCATATGAAGGCGACCTTAAACATTTGCTGAGGTCATAGGCGCGCGCCACCATGCCCAGCAGAAAGCAGCACTAGGGTTCAGCCAGTCCTCTGCCAGCTGAGCTACATCCCCAACTCCCTGGCAGTATCCATCTTGATCATTCTTTAATAACAGATAATGTGACTTCAGAAGAGTCAAAATTTTGTAAGATGGGAAGGGGCACAAAAGATACACCCTGATCAGAAAAATGCAGCCACCCTCTTGGAGGGCAGGTGCTAGCAGGTCCGTGAGGTCTGGGAATTCTCTGTGCCAACTATTTCTCCTGAAGGTAGTCAGCACTGCTTGCCCAATGGGATGGAAGAAAAGGGACTTTATCATCTACTTCTTTGAAACAAAACAACAACAAAAACCCAATCAAGTGTTGTGAGATCTTCTATTGGGTACAGATAGAAGGGGAAGGACATCACACCCCTGCCTCTTGTTCTCCAGGGTGACCAGACCCTCCCGGCCTGGGTAGTAAAGTCACCTTTGCCTTCTCCACTCCAGGGAGTATCTCCCCATCAAGATTTAAAAACAAAAAAGCCATAAAGTGTCATATTAAAGGAGCTGCCAGAGGGGGCCTAGAGGAGCGTTGACAGATCTTCTGCGACTCCATCTCTGGAATTGCTGTCATGCCAACATGCTATGGGGTTAACATGAACAGGATTGCAGAACTTGTCGCTCGCTCGGGCCTCATCCTGTCTTTGTGTATCAGACATTGGTTAAAAAGTGCAGATTAGTTTTTTCAGGATTTACAAGGGCACACACAGCCAGAAGGTCAGTGAGCAGAGACGAAAACACTCAGACTTTGAGGTTACACATTAATTATAGGGACAAATTATAAACGCGATGTAGAGAAATATGCATTGATTAGTGCGGGACCAGTTACGATCAGCCCGGGGATTGCCATTCCCTGTGATTGTCTGAATCCTATTAGCCTCCGCTCACCAGCGTTTGAGTAACAGGTGTTCTTAGAAGTGCCAATTCAGAAAGGAAAGACGTGGGAAGAGCCTGCATTACCTAGGCTCAGCCCTCTTCATCTCCAAGGGTAGGAGGGTGGTCGTCTGTGCAAATCCCCACTCTCCTGTGTGGGGCTGCAGACTTCAGAGGTCCCTGGACGGTGGCAATGGCTGCCATCTCAGGAGAAATCAGTACATGTCCCTATAGATCTCCTGCAGTAGCGGGTGCAGTGCTGCGTCGGACTCGGTCTTCTTGATGACCTGCACGAGCTGCGCATGCTCTGTGACCAGCTGCCGAAGGTCCACCATTTTTTGAAGAAGTTTCGGGAAGAGAAAGGTATCATCGGGATGGTTGCTCTGCAGGTGGAGCTTGAGCACGTGCACGATACCCTCTTGCATCTTCTCAATGTATCCTATGTTTAGAAGGCCAGGCCGATCTACGCTCAAAAGAAGAGAGAGACGTCTGTGTGACCATCCGAAAGCCACTGGTCAGTGGAGGAGCTGAGTGTCACTGCTTATCGTGGCCCCGTGGAGAAGGCGCCTAGTGACCTTCACATGGTAACCTGACTAGAGGCCAGACAGACTTTTCCACAGTCACTGGCTCTGATGGGGACAGACGTGACTGACGCTCCTAGCTCTTTACAGAGCCAGTACACGGTGCCACCTCCATCCCCCGTATAGTGCAGCTCCCATTTCTGGATTTGCCTGGCCTGACAGGCCCCAAATCATGCCACATCTTTGTGTAATGTAGGAAATGAAGTAATTCTTCCCGGGGGAAAGCTGTGAATTCCGCTGCCCACCAGTACTGAAGGAGTGCGGCTGATTGGGCTCTGCCTTAAAAGCAACGTTATCAATACCTCCAGTGAGGCCCAGGTGGAAAGCAGACTGCGAAGTGATGCGGGGTGGGGAGATCATGGCTGGGCAGAATGCAAAGGAGCCCCTGGCGTTGGGAGAGCACACAGCAGGAAGTACCACTCCTCTCATCTGGTGGCCTTCCTGGGACAGTTTCAGGTCTTAGCCCCTCCAGACAGCTGTGCCTTTTAAACCTCATCCACGCATGACCAGGCCTTAAAAGCTGCAAATGATGGTGTGGGTGTTTTGGGTTTTTTTTTTTGGCATATGTATATGTATAGGGATAGAAGACATCTATATAGGAGTATTTATTTCATAATTCATGTTTGCCATTGGGAGCTGGTTTTCTCTTTCTACCTTTATGCTGTTCCAGAGAACAAACTGAGCGGTCAGGCTCGCTTGCAAGGGCTTTCTTTATCCATGGGCCCAGCTCACTGGCCCTTATTTATGTTTGGAACATCTTACTGATAACATATGCTTATTTTATCTATTTTGTTTCCTGTTTCCAGAGGGGAGTGACATCTCTAAATCATATTATCAATTATTATATCATTTGTATCAGTTTTTCCTTTACAGAAAGTTCAGAAATTTAATCTTAGTATTTAAAAGCAAAGCAGATATCCTGGTAATCAAAATGTAGAGTATATACAATTTTAGTTTGATAATCTGGTTGAAATTTAAAATGTATCCTTTCACAAATTTATCTTGTTTTTTTTTAAAGTGGGTTTATTTTTATATACTTATTTTAATTATGTGTGTGTGTGTGTGTTGGGAGGGTGGGGGACGCCCATGAGTACAGCTCTCTGAAGACCCGAAGTGGGCATCGGATCCCCTGGAGCTGGAGTGATAGGCTACTGTGAGCTGTCTGACTGACATGAATTCTGGGAACTGAACTCGAGTTCTCTGCAAGAATAGCACATACTGGTAACCGATGAGCCATCTCTCCTGCCCCTGATGTGAGTTTTAACCTTCATTGGTTTAGAAGTAAAATAAATATAAATAACCAAGGTCTTTGTGTACGTACGTATTTGTATTTTGTGTACGTATGTATTGATGAAATCGCTTGTTGTTTTTTTTGAGATAAGGTCCTCACTGGCCTGCAGCTCTTCACCAAGCAGGCTAACCTGGCTGTGCAGCCAGCCCCAAGGATCTAGGTGTCCCTGCCTCCGCAGCACTGGGATTACAAGAGCACGCCCACACACCCAGCTTTTTTTAAAATGTGGGTTCTGGGTTCAAACCCAGGTCCTCATGCTTGTGTGGCAAGCACTTTATTGACTGAGCCATCTTCCCAACCCCTTGGCTATGTTTTCCAATGGTAGAATGACCCACTCACTCTTTATAGTTTTAACTTCACCATGGCAAGTTTACTATTTTCCATATGGAGCAGTTCCCATAGCCACAGGGTGGGTGCAGGACAGCAGCCATGAAAGGCCGTGTATGTATAACTCTGCATGGCCTTGCTGCCCTCCCCCATCCACACGCAATCGCACAAAGGACCCGACAAACGCTACAGATCTGTGGTGATTTCGTGCTTTACGAGAGTAATGACACGCCTTCAATCCAACTAGTCACCCACCAGACAGTGACTGTGAAGGGCAGGATGGCTTCTGGCAGTTGGGAAGAACTGTCACCCGGAGCTCTATGCCAAGGCCAGGCAAGGTCAGCTGGGCTTACAGTAGGTGGATGACCTTCCTAGACCAGAGACAAGGCTATTTAAAGAAGCACAGTGCTGAGCCAAATATCAGGGACCACAGGACCAGCTTCCCCAGTGAGGCCCAGCTCTTCCTTCCCTGGGATTGTTCCTTCTGGCAAAGCAGACCTTGCAGCTGCTTCTGGTTAGCATGAATTAACATCAGTATTAACAGCACGGTACCTTACCCCTGCACTGTATTTTCCAGACTATTATTTAATACAATAATTATAATATCAATAGTACAAATTATCACCGTATAGTATGTGTATCTAAGACACTTATATTTGATATAATTGTATTATCCGTGGAGCATATATTTAGTTTAGGCATATAACATGCCAATATGCATTAATAAATACTATAATAACGCAACCACGACATATAGTAGATATATTCTCAATTCTACTTGGCAGTAACTCGGGCTCAGACACCACCCCACCCTGGCAGTGCCCACTTCACCGTATCAGAGCCTAGGCTGGCACCGTATCTACAACCGTTGAGTTCCTCCAGAGGGATAGCCTGTAAGTACTTAACAGTGGCATATCAACTTACCTCCGCAGCAAATTATAGCAGCCACGAAAAGGGAAATGTCACTGTCGTCCAGTTCTAGGGCGTTGAACTTCATGGCAAAGTCAAACTTGGGTTCCATGATGTCACAGAATGGTTTCCTCAGGTTCTTCAGGAACTCCCGCGTGATAAAGCCATTGCCATACGCGATCAGCATCCCGTCTTTGTTCATCAGGGAGGACAGCATTGTGAAGATGGCTTCATACACACCGTACTTTAACAAGGTTACTTGGTCATTCAGGTCCAAGTTTGCAAAGCCTGGGATGGCCTTGGCGAATTCGGTGAGCTCGGTGACGGTCTCCACGGACATGCACTGGCAGCAGTGGAAGATCCGCACTTCTGCCTCCTTGTTTTGGATGCCATTGGCCACCATCTTGGCCACAAGCGTCTTCTCAGCCATGCACAAGGTCTCCATGTCATGTATGACGAAAGGCTACAAAGGAAGGTGCCAATGTCAATCAAGTGGCTACCCTATGACAAACTATGCAGTCCCCTTAAACATCAACAAACTAATGGGAAGCTACTGTGTCTAAATCTCCAGGCTTGGTGCTGGGCTGATTCAAAATACATGTGTAGTGCAGACCTGTAATTGGGCAGCTTCAAAGTCAGACAATCAAAGACTTCGTAGAAAACTAACAAATAAGTCAGTAAGGTAACAGTTGTCATGGGCCAGAGAGATAACTCAGCGGCCATTGCAGAGGATGTTGGTTTGATTTCCAGCACACAACCGTTCCTAACTCCAGTTCCAGAGAATCTAATGCTGACCTATGTAGCACCAGGCAGGAAGGAGGGGAGCAGACATATATGCAGGCATATAAAAATATGCTAAACATGACTGGCTTTGTGTAGAAATAAACAAACAGGCCTTGTTCAGCTCTGTAGAGTGGGAGCAGTACCACCTCCCAGTGCAGAAGACACGGGCCTTGCATCAGTGGGCTATCCTGGAACAAGGGCCAAATCCCAGGCTGACTCCCTCTGTGCTACGGCACAATGGCATCCACACCTGCTGGTCCACCACGGTGTCTGCACCTGCAGGTTCACCATAACACACACACACCTGCAGGTCACCATGGCATCCACACCTGCAGGTCACCATGGCGTCCACACCTGCAGGTCACCATGGTGTCCACACCTGCAGGCCACTATGGCGTCCACACCTGCAGATTCACCATTACCACCCACACCTGCAGATCCACCATGGCATCCACACCTGCAGGTCACCATGGCATCCACACCTGCAGGTCCTGCCTCTTTATAAAGTCTAGTGAACCATCCAGCTTTGTCACTACTATGTAAGCAGGTGACAGTTACTCTGGATCGTCAGATTGGTGGTGAGACAAACTGTAAGGACATTTATATCCAGAGGTTTAACTGAGGTGGAAGAGCCTCCCTGAATGTGGGTGACACCATTCCCTAGGCTAGAGAGTCAGCACCTGTTGTCCCTGATCTGGCTGTGGCCACGATGTGCCCAGATGTCTCATGCTCCATCATGCCCTCCCTATCACGATGGACCAGAGTTATCATCAGCCCAACACCAACTTATGTTCGCTATGTATCCTGTCACAGTAACTGGGCAAGCAATAAATAAAGTGATCAGAGGAAACAGGCAGGCTATGAGATGCTGGATCTTTGTGGCTACTGCCACACTATTCCCCAGAGACAAATGTGGAAGCAACAAGAATGGCCATTGACAGATGAATGACTATGCCAATAGAATATCATTCAGCCATAAAAAAGACATCCTGGTATTTGTACCAAATGGAGGAAACCAAAGGACACATATACCATGTATTGTCGCTCATGTGGGTGCTAAAAATGCTGGCCTCACAGGAACAGAGAGTAGGGAAGAGACTCTGGAGAGAAGGGAGATGGGAGAGAGAGGGGTCTGGTAATGCCATTGACTCCAGGTATATTGCATTTTTCATAAGGAGTTTACAGGGACTTTAGACTTTCTGGACACATGATAACTATTTAAGGAGGTGGACACACTGCTCTGATCTTATCGGCACACATTTTGTATTTACATCTGATTTTCAAACTATATCCCATAAATGTGTGCAATTTAAAAACATAAACTGTTTAAAAAAATCACTTGTCGCTGGGACAAACAGCTGTTTGCAGTCACTGTACCCAGACAGATTAAATGTCAGGGACACAGAGAAGAGCCAGCATTTACCCTACTACTGGCCAGAACTCATATTTGCCAAGCAGGAGTGACAGCATCAAGGGACCATCTATAGCACACATGTGCGCGCATGTGTGCACACACAGGTAATGTCTATACTGAGTGAGCACAGGTCACTAATGAGGTGGCTAGTACTGCTTCAATCCAGTGTATCTAACTGTAGAGCAGAAGCATTCCAGCTGCCTAGGAAGAGCCTAGTCCCCTGCCCCTATGCTGGGCTGTTAAGAGCATCTTCATGAGCCACAGAATAGAGGCATAGTCAAGACACCCGGGATGTGCCTGGTACAGAGGCAGGAGGATGTGTGGAGAAGAAGCAATTGTCTCTGAGGTGTTTAGGCAGAGCCTGAACTGGCAATACAGCACTGGACTAAAAAATCTGATTCTATATTAACAAAAGGAGATGCATTAAACATGACTCATTGTGGGGCTGGAGAGGTGGCTCAGAGGTTAAGTGCACGCCTGCCTTCCGGAGTATCTGGTTCCACCAAGCACCCATGTGGTGATGTATATCTACCACTGTAACTCTAGTCCCAGGGGATTGGAACCTTCCTTCTACCTCCAAGGGCATGGCACACACGTGGTGCAAAGATATACATGCAGGCAAAAAATACCCATACGCTTAATAAAAAATGACTCACGGACATTCTATGGGCAAAACTCAGAGGCAAGCCACTGAGTATCTCAAGTCAGATCTAGGCAGGCAAAAAAAAAAGTTTCTCTAAGAGTCTTAAAACAGGTCTGATAACCACCTTCTTGTGGTTAATCTGGAGACAGTTATGCTTCCCAAAAGACCAACAGTGAAAGTCTGATTTAAGGGACTACAGAAATACAGTAGGTCCACGTTTTTAGGGTAGGTGAGATAGCATGGTGGGTGAAAGTATGTGTTTCCAAGCCTGAAGACTTGAGTTTGATCCCTGGGACCCACACAATAGATGAAGACTGACTCTGTGGATTGTCCTCTGACCTCTGCATACATGCCTCCATATACACAGACTAAATTTAATATAACTCTTAATAATTAAAATTCAATGTCCATACTGAATGAGTATTTGTAATTATGGAGATTGTTTGTGCTGGGAAGGCTTCTCTACCACAGAGAGAACTCTTGGCCCTGAGACATTTTCCTCTTGTCATTATTGCCCAGACACTTTCAGCATAATGGTCATTTCCAGAATTCACTCTCCATCAGTGTTATAAGACACCAGAGTGAGTTGAGTTTAGAGAGGATGTATGTGTGATTCTCTGTGATGCTGTGGTATCTTAAAAAAAAGGGGGGGGGGAGCTGGAGAGATGGCTCAGCGGTTAAGAGCACTGGCTGGTCTTACAGAGGTCCTGAGTTCAATTCCCAGTGACTGCAAGTGACTCACAACCATCTGAAGTGAGATCTGCTGCCCTCTTCTGGGATTAAGGAGTACATGCAGATGGCACACTCAGATAAAATAAATAAATAAGACCAACTTTCTTTCTTTCTCTCTCTTTCTTTCTCTTTCTTCTTTCTCTTCTTCCTCTTCTTTCTTTCTTTCTTTCTTTTAAAAAAAGGGTCTTGAGCAAGAATCTGTAAGTAAGATACCTGGCTGCTTGGCTCTGGGTTTAGCCTATAGAATGTCTGAGTAACTTTTGAAAATCATTTATGTGTATGGGTATTGTTGCCTTATGTACATCGTTTCACCATGTGTGTGCAGTGCTCTTGCAGGTAGAGAAGCAGCTCAGGCCCCCTGGGACTAGAGTTAAATGCTTTCCTTTGTAAGAGCTGCCCTGGTCATGGAGATTCTTCCCAGCAAGAGAACACTGATCGGGACAGCAGCGTCACCTTCATTCTGAACACTGTCTTTTCCTAACATGCACTCAGCAGAAAGAAAAGTGGGAAGCAAGCAAATACATAGTCAAGATTTAGAGAAACACAGTGAGTAGGGCTGGGACCTCCTGGAGACTTTGACATGCCAAATGTACACTGGGCTCTTCCAGAAGGGGGCTGTGGTGAGTGGTGCCTTCCAGGGGGCTGGATGATTATTGAAGGGCATCTCCAAGGACTATTGCAGCCTCAGCTACACAAACAGCTCACAGGGTGAGGCAAAATAAACAGGTGGGCCCTTGCTAAAAGACAATTAAGAATTCTCAGCAGTTAAAAAGGAAGCACTGTTTGTGCAGAGAACCTGCATTCAGTTCCCAGAACCACATTGGGAAGCTGACAATGTCTGAAACTCTATCTCTAGTGCTCTCTTCTGGCCTCTGTGGGCACCTCCATTCATGTGCATGTGAGCACGTGCTCGTGCTTGTGCACACACAGACACACACACACACATACACACACTCATCTACACATGATTAAAAACACAATCACTTTAAAAATTCCAAGTCGGTTGGGCATGGAGGCACATGCCTATTATTCTAGTGCTCAGAAGGCTCAGATACAAGGGTCCCGTGAGTTTAAAAGCAGCCTGGGCTAGTGAGACATTGTCTCTCACATAAAAAAGCTAGGCACAACAGCACCGGCCCTAAATCACAGCACTAGGGAGGTGAAAAGGTCTCGGTGAATTCAAGGCTATTCTGGTCTAAAGAGTAAGTTCCACACCAGCCAGAGCTAGACGGTGATGCCCAGAGGACAGGTCAATATTGTGACTAGACTTTATTTTTTAAGATTTATTTAATTATGAATTTAGAGTTTAGTGTATGTGTGTGTGCGCATGCATGAGAGAGAGAGAGAGAGAGAGAGAGAGAGAGAGAGAGAGAGGGAGGGAGGGAGGGAGAGAGAGAGAGAGGGAGAGAGAGAGAGAGAGAGAGAGAGAGAGAGAGAGAGAGATCCATATGCATGCAGGTGCCCAAGTAGGCTGGAAGAGGCTAGCAGATGCTCTCTAATTGGGGGATACAGGCAGTTATAAGCTGCTAAACTATCTCTCTGGCTCTAACATCTAGACATCTAAGATGTTTCCAATTCTGCCCCTTTCAAATCAGACAGGAACACATCCCAAGAAATGTTTTAGCCCCATCACCAGAGGTCCTGGCCATTTTCTGGGTCCTGTGTCTGCACTTCCAGGGGGCTCAAATCAGACCCAGGGTCCAGACAGAAAGCAATGGTTTCATCTGTCTCCTCAGTCCTTCCCTCGGGAAAGCTCACCTTCCCCCACAGCTGCCTTCTGACCTTAGCGGAATCCAGCCTCCAGGTCCCCATGCCCCGAGCAGCTCCAGATGGCCTGAGCCGCCACTTCTTCCGATGGGTCTTTTACAAAATGGGACTTGACCTCCACTTTTAGCAAACCAGGGACTGTTTGACTATACCATCGAACAAGCATTGCTGTCTCCTGGTATGGTGTGTGGTGTCTGTGACTGCGCCTGCCCTAGTTGGCTGCAGGACAGCAAGACTGTGCTGCACTGTTGGCATGAACGCCCATCCCCCCACCTCACAAGTTCACATGCATCGCATCCATGCGCTTTAAACTGCTTACCAGCTGAACCGCAGTTTTTGGGCCGCACTGATGTTCTGCTGGGATCTTGCTGGGGCTGTCATTCCAGCCTAGAACCTGACAGTCACTGAGCCTTGTGCCATGGGACACAGGTCAAACTGAGTACACCAGGGCTACAGCCTAATCTCCCTGAAGGGACTCCCAGCTTCGAAATATCATAAAACATGGGGTTGGAGAGACGGCTCAGAGGTGATGAGCACTTACTGCTCTTGAAGACTGGGGTTCAGTTCACAGCACCCACATAGTGGTTCACAACCACCTGTAACTCCAGTTCCAGGAAATCCAATGGCTTCCACAGGCTTCTGCAGACATGTGGTACACAGACATACACTCAGGCACATTCAGGCACACTCACACACATACACACACAAATGTCCACACACACACATGCTTGCACATACACGCAAAATAAATTTTTTAAATCTTGTAAAATGCACAGCCTACAGTCTCTCAATACAACTGCAGCAACAAAACCAGAGTTCTGCAGAGGTGCTAGGGTAGCGAAGCTGGTGGCGGGCACTCTGCCACCTGGAAATGTCCCAGGCTGGGCACAGACGGAAGAGGAAAGATGGGGGTCTCACACTGGACCAGCAAGTTCTGGGAAGCTGGCCAGTAGTCTGGGCAGGAAGAGAAGAAGGCCCAGCCTCTGAAATGACGTGAGACCTGGAGGTAGGAGGTATCTCTGGTCAACAGAGGGGTCAAAAGCAGCTGGATATCGCTTCTAAAGCTGGTCCCTGCACAGAGATTTGTGGCTGAAGCAGGCAGTTAGCTGCCATAGGTCGTTAATTTGGTGGTGTGTGTAATGTGTGTGGTGTGTGTGCGTATGTATGTATGTAATGTGTGATGTGTGTGGTGTGTGTGTATGTATGCAATGTGTGATGTGTGTGTGTGTATGTAATGTGTGATGTGTGTATGTATGTGATGTGTAATGTGTGTGGTGTGTGTGCGTATGTATGTATGTAATGTGTGATGTGTGTGGTGTGTGTGTGTATGTATGCAATGTGTGATGTGTGCGTGTATGTATGTAATGTGTGATGTGTGTATATGTATGCATGTGATGTGTAATGTGTGTGGTGTGTGTGTATGTGATGTGTGTGTATGTATGTATGTGTTGTGTAATGTGTGTGGTGTGTGTGTATGTATGTATGTAATGTGTGATGTGTGTGTATGTATGTATGTAATGTGTGATGTGTGTGTATGTATGTATGCAATGTGTGATGTGTGTGGTGTGTGTGTATGTATGTAATGTGTGATGTGTGTGTATGTATGTATGTGATGTGTGTGTATGTAATGTGTGATGTGTGTGTGTATGTATGTATGCAATGTGTGATGTGTGTGTGTGTATATAATGTGTGATGTGTGTGTATGTAATGTGTGATGTGTGTGTATGTGTATGTATGTATGTAATGTGTGATGTGTGTGTGTACATGTTTGTTTGGTGCACTGGTGCACTGAAGGTGTAGGTGGTGGCCAAAGGTGGGCATTGGTTGTCTTCCTCAGCCAGTCTCTAATTTTTTGAGACAAGGTCACTCACTGAACCTGGAGCTCGCTGATGTAGCTAAGCCCGCTGTCCAGAAAGCTCCAGCATCCTCCTGTCTCTGCCTCCACAGTGCTGGTATTACAGAAATGTATGACCACATCTGGCTTATTATGTATGAGCTGGGGATCCAAAATCAGGTCCTTAGACACTGACTTGTCTGAGCCAGCTCCCAAATCCCTCCCCCATCCTGTCTTTGTAATGTGGCAGCTCCCAGCCCTGGACCATTACTCTGGCATTCATTTCCACATGACTCTTGACTTCCTCAAGACGGAGGACAGTGGGACCCTCCCTCCTAAGAACCTTGTGGAATCTGGTAAAGAAAGCAGAGGCACCTCAGTAGGGATTATCCAGCAGAGTGCTTAGGTATGAATAAAGCCAACTCTTATGTTGGCTATAAATCTCAGAGTTTGAGGGAGAAATAGAAGGTCTCCAATGGAAATTCTAATTTCCCTCGTTTGGGGTCATCATGATAGAAATGCAAACTTTACCCTGTGAGCCAGAAAAGGTTCTAAATCAACGGTTCTCAACCTCTGGGTCAGGACCCCCTTCGGGGTCGCATATCAGATATCCTGCGTATCAGATATTTACATTATGATTCATTACAGCAGCAAAATTACAGTTATGAAGTAGCAGCAAAATAATTTTATGGTTGGGGGTCACCACAACGTGAGGAACTGTATTAAGGGGTCGCGGCATTAGGAAGGTTGAGAACCACTGCTCTAATTGGAAAGGGTCTCTGGGGTCACCCAGTGTGGAGTTTGCTGTAACCTTCTAAGGTGTCTCAGCCCATCTCACTGGAGAATTCACCAAAGTATTAGAAGACTCAGTAAAAGAGAGGTGGGGTTTGTTGATTAAAGTGTATAGCTTGTGAAATCCTCCGTTTTCCTGTGACTAAAAATTCTTGCTTGTAATTCCCAGTGAGGAAGGCTCCAAGCTATTCATTAGCACAAATTAAACCTGTCATACCAGGCAAGAGTCCTTCTGTGCCAAGTGAGGGCTGGCCCCTCTGTGGAAATGGCTCTTGACGCCCTTCTGCAGTGTACACAGGCTTATCCATCTGTGGGAACAGTGGGTCATGAGCCCGGCAACTGTTACAGGAACTGCAGATGCAGGGGCAAGCTGACATAGGAGGTCAACAAAGGCCCCTCCCCAAGACCCAAGCCATCAGAGAGAAAGAGAAGCAAGAAGGTGTCAAGGAAGGCAGGTTTAGCTTAGCAGAAGAATGAGTGATTCGAGTCGGGAGGGAATAGGTTTCATTTCTGGCCTTAAAATAGGGATTAAAACACACTTAAGAAACACCCTGATACTGGGTAAGGAATTAACTAGATTATTTTTGGTGTATCAATTACTTAGCCTTTATAATGTCTCGGTTGCTAGGAGCTGAGGCGAGCCCAGGCAGGAAGGCAGCTGTTGGTGTCAAGCTACATCTTAGTGCCTCAGAATAAGCCGTGTATTTCCATGGCCATTCCTTGGACTTTGGGATAAATTCTATTTTCCAACATCGGACAATGTTCTCAGACATCCCCTGTGACCCCAGCTGACATCACCAAGGGATACACCAAGGTTCTGAGGGCAGCAGGAGCACCTACCGGGTTATTGCTGGTCTTTCCTGCCAGGATGACCCGGGCCTTGACCTTGTTCATGTTGAAGTTCTTCAGGTAGGCCTCGTGGATTCTCCTGGCCAGAGATCTGAGGTCTGCAGTCTCCGAATCTTCCAGATCATGTTCACACGTAAGAATTTCTGCTTTCAGTTTTGCTTTCTCAGATCTTGGCATCCGCCCAAAACGGATCGCTGGAGTTGGGGTGGGATGAGACAAGCGGAGATGCAGAAATTGATGACCAAGGCAGAGGCCACACCAGGCATGACGAGCTAAACCTATTCCTTATTATGACCAAACTTTCTACGGGGCAGACTAAAGGCCAACCACAGAGCCTATCAGTGGGGTAGTTTACTGTCCTCAGGTAGGCCATCCGCCAAAGTGAAGGGGACTTAAAGCAAACTATCACCTATGTACTATCTATATCATCTGGTTATCAATCCAATCATCTGCCCATTTATATACATCACCTGTCTATCAATCATCTTTCTGCCTATTAATCAACTATCTATATCTATATCTATGTACTTATAATCCATCTGCCTATCTCTTTCCTTCCTACACTCCCTTTGTCCCTCCCTCCCTCCCTCCCTCCCTCCCTCCCTCCCGGGTCTCATGCAGTGCCTCATCCTGGCCTCCAACCAACTATATAATGGAGGATGACCTTGAACTCCTGAGACTCTTGCCTCCACCCCTCAAGTACTCAGATTACAGGCCAGGTCTACGTGGTGCTAGGAACCCAGTGCCTCAGGCGTGCCAAAGCACTCTACCAGTTGAGATATATCTCCAGCTCTATTTTGTATTTTTTGAGACACGGTCTTTCTATGTAGCCCATGCTGGCCATGAAGTTACCAAACTCTTCTTGCCTCAGCCTTCTGAGTGCTGGGATTACAGGCATGTACCACTATGTCCATGCTCTTAGTACTTCTTGGAGACAGAGGCAGGTGTATCTCTGTGAGTTCAAGGCCTGCCTGGTTTATAAAGTGATTTCCATACCAGCCAGGGATGGGTAGTAAAACCCTCAACTCAAAATTAATTAATTGATTGATTGGTTGGTTGATTTACATTCACTGGGTACCATGTTCTAAATTAGATTATGGCTGAGAAAACAAAACTCACAGCATGGCACAATGTTTGAATGAACCTACATTTAACAGAAGTGATGTGACATCGTGCCGCTCGTGATTCCCACACCCCAAGTGGACAGCAAAGTCTTACCACAGTATTTCCAAGTGCTCTGCTAAATACGAGCTGCTGGGAATATTTACATGTTACAGCACACCCACTGAAAATATAGGAGGATAAACTGAGTCACGGGCTGACATGGTGTGCCCAGCAGCCTTACCTACCATTGTGTGACATTCCAACGGACAGGCACTTGTGGAAGCGGCAGTACTGGCACTTATTCCTGTTCTTTTTCTGAATCTTGCAGCTCCGGTCACATTTGTCGTACACCAGCTTTAGCCGAATAGTTCGCCGAAAGAAGCCCTGTGATATCGCCACAAAATTGACGTAAAGAACATGGGTTCTGGGTAAGTCACCAGACTGGTGTCACTCAGCTTTTCTTGTGCATTTGACTGACTGGTTTGTTTTGAGACAGGATCTCATGTAGCCCAGCTTGGCTAAGAGCTTGCTCTGTGGCCAACGATGTCCTTGAACTCTTGGTCTTCCTGCTTCTATGCTTCCACCTCCCAAGTGCTGAGACCACTTGGCTGAGCACCATCATGCCTTGCTTTGTGGGGTGCTGGGGATCCAACCCAGGGCTCCATGCATGCTAGGAAATTACTCGACCGGCTGAGCTACACCCAGCCTCACTGTCTCTTTCCGAAGAAACTACATGTTAAAGTTCTAGTCATGTAAACTGGGGCAAATAAAAAAATGCGCGTCTCACTGCATTGAAGATGGAAAATAATGATCTAAGGCAGAATTCAAAGCGATCTTAGAAAGACCCTACCTGACTAGGGAAGAGGGAATGGTAGTTTCTTGGGCCACAATACCAACTCCCGAAGAGCAGACACTATAGCAAGAGGGAACCAGTTATTTGAAAGCAACACCCTTGCTTTATAGCAGCATTGGGGCTTCACCCATGAAGAAAACAGCATGAGCCCATAAAAGCCAAGACTAAGCAAAAGCGATTGGACACGACCTCGACAGAAAGCCCTGCCACAAGACGTGCTTTTAAAGGGACATGGAAGGAAAACTCAGATAAGATAAAGATAAGGCATTTATCTTAGCTTTTGATCCTTGGCTTTTGAGTGCCCCCTCCACTTGCCTGACATGGTGGACTCTTATGGCCCACGCAGAAGGGATCAGGCCTTTATTGGGATGGGGGATTGGAAGGAGTAGCTTCTTCATCTAGGCATCTGAGGCAGAATGGAAGAAAGATGTGTGGAATGGCAAGGAAGGGTGAGAAGAAAGGACAGTTAATGCCAGGGGCCACCAGGCCCTAGATCTGGGCTTATTGTTCCCATGCACCAGGACCACCTGAAAACAAATGACAGGGCTTCAAGAATGATGTCTGTGGTATTCCCTCAGAGCCTGGATACTTCCGGAAGGTACTAGAAAGGGAGCCTGTGGCTTTTAAGCAAACATGTGCGTCTCTCAGTTCCATATATGGCGTTCATGGAAGTGACAAACTTGAGAATGTATATGCAGCAGAAGGGGGCTCGCTTCATGTATGTGGGGCTTGGGTCATGACTGTCTGGAGGTCAAGTTGACTCTTAAGAGAAGAGAGATACTCAGGAGGGTGCAGGTGGCTAGAAGGACGGGAGTATGTGCCAGAAGCGACCAGTGGGGGTCAGTTACAATAGCAGGAGAGCCAGTCACTGTGGACTCCGAGCAAGGGGCAGGACACGTCTGATGGCTAGCCCCTTGCTCAATGCATGGTAACCTCTGCCCTAGCTGGCCCCTGGAGAGGTCAGGAGGCTGTAGGTAAACACACCCCACTGCATGGTCACCTCTGCTCCAGCTGGCTTCTGAGGTGGTCCCGAGGTAAAGTACGGAGCCTACACTTTGTGTCATGGGAGGAGACATTTTTAAAGCAACTGTGTTTGGTTTCCCTGTTTTTTTTTGTTTTGTTTTGAAGGATGCATCCCTCTAGAATATTTACAAATCACAGCAAAGCAACCTGCCCTAGATTCTCCAGAGTAGCCAACCTGCCACTGAGGCCAGTCCTCTGCCCTTTCTGTAGGTCTCAGTGGTGGGCATCTTGCAGAGGAGCAAAGTCATGTGGCTACCTCCCCCTCCACCCAGGGCCTCTGTACCTTGCAGCCTTCACACGCATGGACTCCGTAGTGGTAGCCTGAGGCCTTGTCCCCACATATCCGACACTCAATGTTGAGTGCACCGCCAGGGGACTCATCCGTGCTGGCGGGGATCACAGGGCAGCTGACTGAGGAGGGGCTGGAAGCTGGAGAGAGTGTGTCTGTAAAGAAGAGGAAAGTGTGTGAGACTTGAGGTACTAAGACCCGTGTCAGAACCGGATCCCTGGGAAGATGATTTGGAAGTAGTCAGGGGACCTGGGATGAGGGCAGGTGCCCGTCTTGAATCAGCCCTGCCTCTGGCCACACACTGCCAGTAGTTACCATGGTGCCCCCATTCCTGAAGCTCATGTACACTAGCCGGCTTCCTCATACCCTACCTCCAGTTCTTCAGAGGCCATGTTATGAGAGAGACCTGCACGTGGGCCCCAGCCTCCCATGCCACATGACCAACACAGAGCTGGCTGCTTTCCAGTCTTGTTGTCCCTGTTACTCAGTGGCACCAGAATATGACCTGATGATTCATGCGGGTCAGGTGCAGTGACACAATGTCTCTAACCCTAAAGTTCAGAAGCGGAGGCAAGAGGATTGTCAGGCCAAGACCAGCTTGAGCTACACAGTGAGTCAGAGACAGAAGAGAAAATGGAGAGGCAGACGAGGGGGAAACGGAAGAGAGCTGAGAGCAAGAGTTGAGAGGAGAGCATGCCGAGAATAAGGCAGAAAAAGAGACTGAGCGACAAAAGAGGAGAGATGGCAGAGAAAGGAAAGAGAAATGAAAAGATACATCAGAGCAGGGGAGAAAATGCTTCTAAAAACCCAATGGATGAAAGCCTTGGGTCTAAAAGATACAAAGAAGTCTTAAAACCAAACAATAGAAAACAACACATATAAAAGGTACCAATAAACCAAAAGCATCAGAAGCCCATCAATAGAATAATACATACTTTGCCCAAGAAGACAGACCGATAAGGAGTGTGCCACTGTCATGAGCGGGCTGTGAGTTAAAACCACAGTGACCGTCACTGAACACCCATTAAATGAAATGTCTTTGAAACTGACAGCAGAAGCACCGGCAGGGTTGTAGAGTGACTGCTGTCACTCATGGCCAGTGCACTCATAGAACGACAGGGACAGCTGGTTTTAAAGCAAAACAGTCATAGGTGAGAACAATTGCATCTCTGGTTACTCACCCACCTGCCTTGGGAACAGGTCCACACAAAAATCAATGATAGCATCTTTAAAAAAAAGCGTATGTAGGATGTGTTTGATGTGCATGCCATGGCGTGCTATGGCATGCATATGAAGGTCAGGGGACAACTTGGTGTCAGCTATCACCTTCCACTTTGAGGCAGGGTCTCTCTCCTGTTGTTTACCTCTTTGTACACCAGGTAGCTGGCTTAGCTTGTGAGCTTCCGGGGAGGCTCTTGTATCTGTCCACCTTTTTCTCCATGCAGTATGGGGATTGTGGACCCAGCCTACTATATTTGGCTTCTTCTATTTTTTTCAAACATATGTTTTTAGGTTTTGAAGTCAGGTCCTTATGCTTACATGGCAAACACTTTTACCTATGAAACCATTTCCCTGGCCCCCAGTAGTTTCATGCTTAATTGCTAAGAATTGGAAGTAGTCAGATTAATTAAGCCTGACATCCTGCTTTCCATCCCAGGAGCTCACAGTGGAAGGAAGAGAATTAACACATGGAGGTTGTCCTCTGTCTTCCACAGACACACCACACATGTACACATATGTTCCTACACACAGAGAAGGGAAGAAAGGAAGGAAGGAGGAAGGAAGGAAGGAAAGGAAGGAAGGAAGGAAGGAAAGGAAGGATGGAAGGAAGGAAGGAAGGAAGGAAGGAAAGGAAGGATGGAAGGAAGGAAGGAAGGAAGGAAGGAAAGGAAGGATGGAAGGAAGGAAGAAAGGAAGGAAGGAAGGAAGGAAGGAAGGGAAGGAAGGAAAACAAATCATAACAAACCAACTATAAAAAGACATCCTAGCAGCTGATCCCAGGGAACTGCCCTGGCAGGGCCAGGAACATTCATTCCTGTTCTCACCCCGCACAGTGGATACTCCCGACTGTGTGGGACATCAGGACCAGCACCTGGAGTGTACTTACTGCTTTGGCAGTGAGGAAGTCGCCTCTAGAGTAGAAGCTATATGGTTCCATCTAACAAAGCTAGAAGCAAGATCCTAAAGGATCAAACATTTCACAGTCACTTAACTGCATCTCTGAACAAAGCCTGGGCATGCTTATTGGAATGCAAACTCTACCACACAACAGAGCTCACAGTGTGTGCCACTCAATTAAAAAATTACAAGGCATACAAGCAGAAATCTTGGCTCGCGATGAGAAGAGAAATGAATGAAAGAGACCCAGAAGTGACACAGATGATAGAATTTGCTTCCAAGACATTAAAAAGTTATTCTGACCATACCCTAAAAAGCAAGACGGAAGACTGTGTGTGTTGGATAAAAATGAAGGTTCAAAAAATAGATCCTGGTGCTGGTTATGAAAACTATAATATCTGCTGTGGACAATAAACCAAGGAGACTAGACGTTGCAAAAGAAAAGATTGGCAAAGTGGAAAACACAGCAATAGGAACTATCCACAATGAAACACATACACACAAACACACGAGAGAGAGAGAGAGAGAGAGAGAGAGAGAGAGAGAGAGAGAGAGAGATGTACACAACAGCATTAGCTATGGGAAGGAAGAGCGAAGCTGTTAAGAAATCTTCAGGCCCAGATGACTTCATCGATGAAATCAACAAAGCATTCAAGGAAATCCAAGTATCAATTCCGTAGACAGAGACTGCTTGTTCATTTCCTGGCTGCCCTGACCCAAACAATCACACAGAAACTATATTAATTACAACACTGTTTGGCCTTTTAGCTCAGGGTTCTTATTAACTAACTCCTACATCTTAAACCAAACAATTTCTATTAATCTGTGTATTGCCACGGGGCTGTGACTTACAGGAAAGGTTCCAGCAGTGGTTCTTCTTCGGCAACTACGTGGCATCTCTCTGACTCCATCTACTCTTCTCTCTCTCTCTCTCTCTCTCTCTCTCTCCCTCTCCCTCTCCCTCTCTCTCCCTCTCCCTCTCACAGCCTAGCTATATTCTTCCCTGATATAGGCTGAAGCAGCTTCTTTATTAACCAATGGTAAACATATTCATAACATACAGAGGGGAATCCCACATCACAATTCTCCAGGAAAACTTCCAGGAAACCAAAAAGGAAAGAACATTTCCTCATTTCACAAGGCAAGAATCAATCTAAGACCAAAGTCAGACAAGGATATTTCAGAAATAAAAACTAGCATCCCCTTAATAGAATATTAGACAATTAAACTGTTTACCAAGAGTATGAGACATTAGGACAAATTAACATTTTCCCACTGGAACGCAAGGTTAGTTTAACTGTCAACATATGCAATTCACTGTATAAATAAACTCCAAGGGGCTGGGTGGTGGTGGTGCACACCTTTAGTCCCAGCACTCGGGAGGCAGAGGCAGGCAGGTCTCTGTGAGTTTAGTGCCAGCCTGGTCTACAGAATGAGCTTCAGTACATCCAGGGCTACACAGAGAAATCTTATCTTGAATGCATATATATATATACAAACAAACTAAAAGGAAGCTTTTTGATCATCGTCCTAGCACATAAAAATAATTTTCCCAAACCTAACACCAGTGCCTAATAAAAGTTCACAGCAAGCTGGGACAAGAAGGTAACTCCAGCAGCCCAATAGGAATGCTGTTAGCGGGCATGTAAAAGAAACGGTAGCCAGCACACTCTACGGCAAAGACTAGGTGGTTTTCTCATGACCAGTACTAAGAAGAGGCATCACCGTTCCCACCTAACATCGTGCTGGAAGTTCTAACCAGTGTAACAATGTGGAAAAAGGAAATTAAAGAGACCCATTTTGAAAAGGAGGAAGCAAAGCTGCCTCCATGGCAGATGATATCATTATTTACAAGAATAACTTAAAGAACCTATATTTAAAAAGTCACTGGAACTAATTAAGTTTAAAAATTAACATTCAAAAATGATTACACACACACACACACACACACACACACACACACACACATATATATATATATATATGTAGCACCGAATAACCAGAACTTTAAATACAAAATAATCAATACCACTCATTTATAATCAGGTTAAAAGTATAAAATGCTTCCATATAAATCTGACACAATATGTGAAAAGCCTACACATGAGACTAAATAACACATGGGCAAAGAACCTGAAGAGGACCCAGATATGAGAAACACGACTGTCAGAGATCAACAGGAAAACTCAGATCAGGAAGATGTCAATTCTCCTCAAACTGACTACACACATAACTCTAATGAAAAAACTCAGCTGCCTTGACTGACTCGAGTAATTAGGGCTAGGAAATAGCTCAGTGGGTAAGAACACTGTTCTTCCAGAGGACCTGAGTCTGGTTCCCAGCATATATTTCAGATTGCTTACATCTATATCCAATTCCAACGCCAGGGGAATACAATGCCTCTGACCGCCACAAGTACGTGCACTCAAGTGTATATAATCGCGCGCGCGTGTGCGCACACACACACACACACACACACACACACACAACTAGACCAGAGAACTTATCTGGGGGGCTCCGGGCAATTGCACAGAGATCTACTGTGAACAGTTGCACAAGGCTCTACCCAGGTATCTGCATTCTTCTCTTGGATGAATACATAGGAGTGGAAGGACTGGAACATAGAGCATAGAGCAGATGTCTGTGTGAGTTCTCAGGAGATGCCAGCACCATGGGATTGGCATCCAATGAAAGAAATGGATGGAGCTGAGCAAAAGCCTAGATACAGACCTACAATGTCCACTGATTTCAGAGGCACACAGACAATGGTGTGTTCTTGTCAGTGAGCTATGCCCAGACAACCGCGAACGAAAGAGAAAGTGAGAAGAAACTTTGATCTGTATGTAAAAATTAAGTCGATGAATATAGGACTTCAACGTAAAACCTAAAACATCTCGAAAATGTCCAAGCAAAGACCTCTTAAATATGACACAAGACGCATGGTCACCAAAAGAAGGACACTGATATGCTGGACTTTGTCAGTTAGGAACTGGTTTTCATTGAATGACACAGCTAAAGAAAAGGACAAACTTCAGGCTGGGAGGAAGTATTTGTAGACCATTTATTTACCTGAGGAAGTCCTTGCATCCAGAATACATATAAAATTTCTATTATCAGTATAAGAAAATACACAACCCAAGTACAAAGTGGGCAAACAATTTCACCAGAAACTCTACCAAAACAGTTACAGGACAAATCATCACACAAGAAGATGCAACACCAGAGATGAGCAAACTAAAACGACCCCCACGGAGCATTGTGGCTCTCCTGCAAGGATGGCTAAGGCGTCAAAGAGTGGTCACCTTCCACAGATGAGCCCGCGAGGAGCTGAACTCCCACACTGATGGTGGGGACAGCACTTTGGAAAGCGTTTTGGCATCTCCTAAACACACACACACACACACACATACACACACACACACACACACACACACACACCTGCCCTGCTAGCTCAGCCCTTCCTATGTATTTACCCAAGAGAAGAATACAGGTGTCTGGACAAAGCCTTGCCTGGATGTATCACAGTGGTTCTAAATGCGGGAGCTGGGAACTGTCCACAGCTCCAGTGTTCACAGGCAGACACATGGAAACAGAAAGAATGTCATGTCGGGCAGTGCACAGCACCGAGGGAAGAATGGGTACACAACCACCACACAGAGGCGTCATCAACGGATCTCAGGGAGTGTAGAAGGATGTCTAGGAAGAGTCATGCATTTAGAGAAAGTTGCAGGAAACACACATTAGCCGACACAACACACACGTAAAAGCCTACAGAGCTAGAAAACATATCAGAAGTCATGCGGTAGAGAGGAAGGAGGGCATTGCAGGGGAAGCACCAAGCTGACTCTGATGGGTGCAGTCATTACTTTGATTGTAATGATGGTTTCAGAGAGAAGACAGACAGACGGAGAGACAGAGATTCTTTTTAAAAGTCTTAAATACTCTGAGGAAAATACACATCTAGGAAGATCTTTCCAGAAAGCAGCACTTACCTGTGATGACAGAGCTCTCAGAGCCTGGACAGCTTCCTAAATATTGGTAGTCTGTGAAACTAAAGCTTCCAGAACTCTCTTCCCCAAAGGACTGAGAAATCTCTTGAATGTTTCCCATTTCTTGTAAGAATTCTTCTGATAAGGGACTCTCCAGGTCATCCGTCTCAAGTGGAGAGAGAGGACAGATGGGGCTCTCTGTGTCCACCATGTTGGCTGGAAGTGGCCAGGCAGGCCACAGAGCGTCAACCTGTGGGACAAAAATAGTCAGAAGAGCATTCCCTTTCTGCTCTGAAACGAACACCACTTATCCTCGAAGGGCTGCCTAAGTTCAAATCTCAGCAGTGGCAGCATTGACTCTCCACCCTTGACACTTGAAATCACAGTGATGCGTTCTCTAAACGGGGTCTGGAAAGATGGCTCAGCAGCTGAGAGCACTTGCTGCTTTTGCAGAGGATCTGGGTTTGATTTCCAGCACCCACATGGCAGCTCACAGACACCTGTAACTGTGGTTCCAGGGAACTCAGACCTTCATGGGCAACAGGCAACATGTTTGGTGCACACATATAGACCCAGGCTAAATTCTCAAAAAAAAAAAAAATATATATATATATATATTAAAATCTCCAAACAACAAATATAGAAAGAGTCAAACTGTACACAGAGGACAACCCTTCATTGCTTACTGACTGTTCACTACACATGAGCTCAGCTTTCCAGTCATGGACAAAAACACAATTCATGTTCCCTGAAACAAGCCTTCCAATGGGGACACGGGTAGAGGCCAACTGAATGGGATGTTTGGTGGGGGTGAGAGACACGAGCAGGGACAGGTAAAGCACAGATGCCTCAGACCCAGAAGCCTCAGAAGGATGCGCTGTTCTGGAGAAGAATGTTCCAGTACAAAGAATGTTCCAGTACCAAGTGCTGGTACAGGCCAGCACATTCTAGGATCAGCAGGGAGGCCACCGGGCTTGGTTAAGGGGCACCAGGAAGGAAGGCTGGTGCAGTCAGCAAGAGTGTTGTGTGTTATTCACTCTCGGGTGTCCTTCTGTAGACGTGAAGGGCAGTCAACTGTAGATAGTATTAGAAAAACTACACACTACCAAGTGCTTCGTGGAGTTTTAAGTGAGTCCCAGGCAACTCCAAACTCCACTTACCTGCAAGCAAAAATCAGTGCCCCTATGATAAGCACACTCTCCATAATCTCCAATGACTTCCTGTGATCTCCAGGTCAAAGTCCAATCCCTCAGTGTGTCAGTCCAGCCCATGGAAATAGAGCACACTAGGCCTCTTGGCTTTGCTATTTCACCGGGCAGCTTTGCTGGGACCGCCCACTGCTGCCTTCAGTAGGCCCGACTTCCAGCCCACCTAAGCCTGACAGGTCACCAAGCACCCAGCCAGACTGACTAGACGACATTCAGCTTCCTGACCTGTTTTTCCATCTAGAAGTAGTCCCAGAGCAAGCCTCACGGAGAACACCACAGCTCACGTTGCAGAGAAGGCCAGAGTTGCTGCGGACTAGCCAGGCTGTGGGCTCCAAGTGAAGCAGCTCCTGCCGTGCTGTGACCACAGAGAGCCCGTGTCTTCTGAAGAGCACTTCCAACTCCCAGAGCACTGAACGAACACATGTGCACTGGCAGCTCCGCACTCTCCCACTTGCCAAATGTCAACAGACTTCTCAAGCGCAAAGAGAAAGGGGTGTTTGGGTTTCCTCAAGGAACGAAAAATGGGTAGAACTATATTTTTTTGTGAAAATTCACATCTCAGGCTTGGAGCCCTGACAAGTTATCACAGATAATCATTATAGACCGGGGGAAACAGTAAAGAATCGTCATCATGGGGCTGGGGAGATGGCTCCGCTGGTAAAGTGTTTGCTGTCAGGGTTGAGGCCCTGGGTTCACTCCCTGTCTCTGACAGACAAAGCCAGGCATGGCAGTGTGCACCTACAGTCCCAGGACTGAATAGGCAGAGGCAGGAGGATTCCTGGGGCTCCCTGGCACACTAATCAAAAAGCTGCCTTCCAAGTTGAATGAGACTGTCTCAAAAGACAAGGTAGAGAACAATGTCAGGAAGACAACTAATAGTAACCTAAACACACACACACACACCACACACACATATACATCAACCACACATACACACACCACAAGCACACCACACACACACACACACCATACACACCACACACACAGACACACCACACACTCCACACACACCCCACACATACACGCACACACACCACACACACAGAAACACACATACCACACACAAGGACACACACACACACCACATACACAGACACATACACACAATCTTAAGCATTGTAGGCTAAAGATGGTCTTCTTTTTTCTGTCTGTGTATGCTATTCCATAAATTGGTGCCTACTTTTTTATTTGGAGCAGCGGCGTAGGGGATGGAATCCAGGGCCTCCTGCATGCTGAGCAGAGCCCACCACTGAGCTACCACCCCAGCCTGTAGACACACTTTATTTTGTATTGTATTGAAAGCAGTAATTCTCCAGTTGGCAAGCCAGATAGCGGAATGATAAGCATTACATAAGTTATTTTTCATCATGAACAAAATGTTCAAAAGCCACAATCATGAGGTCAGACATAAAGTTCATCCCCATGAAAAGGCCAGAACAGGGCAAAGTCTGTACTAGGGAAGGGCTGTGTCCTCTCCTTTTGCCATCCCTGTCACCGACAGCAGCCTTTATTCCCACACACCAGGAGCACTGGGCTAAGGCCATGAGCTGGTTTCCTTGTCATGACCTTCAGGGAGTGCCAGCGTTTGGGAATCGTGTGATTTGACTCATTGGTGGCTTTTAAAGAGTAACTGAGTTTATCTAGAGAAACGCTGGTCTTTCCTTTCATGAGATAGCTGGGATAATACCTCTTCATGAGTGGGGCAATCCTGATGTGAACTCTGGCCGCTAGGCCTGGCACCGCACACAACACATAGGTCCTTCTTGACTCCAAGCAGGGCAGATAAAAGCCTTTCCTTTTCAATGAGTCCCCCAGATAGATAACAGAGGTCACATGGGCACACCCCAACATGCTCACCCGGAGGATCCCAGCATACCCTGGCATCCTCGCTTACTCTGATTAGGAGCAAAAACATCCGGACAGTCCTATCACTGACTGTGTCCAATACCCACAGTTCACTACCATTGACGGATCACTAAGAAGAGCAGCCAGGGCAGCCAGTGGCTGTGCCCTGTGCCCCAGATGTCCCAGAAGGATAGAAAAATGAGAAACAATCCCCTATCTCAGCAGTAACCACTGCTGGGACCTTTTATTTTTTCTGGTGGGTGTGTATGTGTGTGTGTGTGCGTGGTTAATATTTGAATTAAGTAACAAAAATATTCCATTGGGAATTAGGAAGTTAACTATTTGAAAACTCTAGAACATTCAATAAAAAGGAAACAAAAGAAACAGACGCACAGTTTCATGTTAGGACAAGACAAAGCATATGAGAACTTGGGTATTATCCATCGGCAACCTTTGATGCTGAAGCATCTTGCATGTTGCCCCTCTAGGACATTAGATGGTTAGGCTAACCCGACTTGCTAATCTCACAATGAGTACTTACTGTGTGAAGCCAAGTGGGGCTCAGCTCATTCTCCTCTAAAGCCCACCACACCTGGGCCCTGTTTGCATAGGGTTGTGTAACTTCTTACATCTGTCTCTCCTACGAGATTGCATGTCTTGATAGAGCAAGGGGTGCATTTGTCTGATTTTTACATGCTTAGGTCCAAAGCAATCTCTGCCATGGAGCAGGTGTTCAAAAAGCCATGTCTACTGCTCGGCCCAGAACAAGTGATCATGCCGTCACCTGTGCCAGGTGGGGCTCCTCTGAATGAGCAGCTGCTACGGGTGTCAGTCGGAAAGGGCCTCCAAGGACATCATCTGAGCAGCGGATACGGAGAACAAAAGCCAAGGGGATTGTGCACTGGATATATCGCCAGCAGTTTTCAGAGGGAAGTATAACCACAGGGACTGTAATTTTATGAGAAATGGGGGAAAATAGAAAAATGAACAGAGAAGTTCCCCAGTCACCGAGCGAGAGCTGTGGGAAACAGGGATCAACCCCTCAGTTGAAAGCAAAGGAGTTGGCCAGACTGGTTCAGCACACTCCCTGGCTTTGGGGCGAGGACTAGCACCCAGCAGACAGTAAACACGAAGAGGCAAAGGGACGGGAGAGTCGTCTGACTTTTCCCTCAGAACTGCAAATGCTGAACTTTGGATATGTTCTGTGACAGAGTGTGCCAGGGGAGAGTCCAGAAGTTCATCTGCCTGCAAAGGAACCGGACGTGGTGGCACACACCTTTAATCCCACAACTTGGAAGGTAGAGGCAGGCGTATCTCTGTGAGTTTGAGACCAGCCTGGTCTACAGAGTGAGTTTCAGGACAGCCAGGGTTGCATGGTGGAGGCCCTGTCTACAAACAACCAAACACAAAAAACAAAAAGCAACCTTCCCCCGCCCCCAAACCAGCCAAGTGACTTTCACATGGAATCCTGGCTACTTGGAAGCCCGTGAGGCAGGAGGATTGTGAGATCTAGGCTAACCTAGGCCACAAGGAAAGACCTTGTAACATAGAAAAATCACTCTGGGCTTCCCAGGGGCACCTGCTGTCCCTGACCATCATCAAACCTGTGTATTATTAACAGAGGTTTCTTGGATTGCCAAGTCACTTTCTAAATATCTTCTAGAATTACTTATTAAATAGGAGGGAGCACGACACTGTCCCAGCTACGGAAACAGTTGAATCCCTCGATGAAAAAGCGAACCTGGGACATTTGTCAGGAAAGCATCCAGACACCCGCAGACTCCGGCTTCCCCCCTATGCCTTCTCCAGTGGTTTCCTAGTTTTCTTTTTCTTTTTTTGGTTTTTCGAGACAGGGTTTCTCTGTGGTTTTGGAGCCTGTCCTGGAACTAGCTCTTGTAGACCAGGCTGGTCTCGAACTCACAGAGATCCGCCTGCCTCTGCCTCCCGAGTGCTGGGATTAAAGGCGTGCGCCACCACTGCCCGGCGGTTTCCTAGTTTTCTGTATCACAGGACACCCTCAGCTCATCGCCTCCCAGTGCTCAACACCGCAAACCTAGAGAAACCAATTTAACCCTTTCACTACTCTAGGAAGCATGGTTAGGCTTAAGGGAGTGGTTGAAAGGCCAATGAGGAAGTCTAATCAAAGGACCATTGACGCCACAAGTGGCTCCCAGATGGAGTCTTTCTCCTCACCATG